CTTAAATCCAAATTTTATAATTCCGGACATTCTCACTTAAATTTGTCTTGTACTCAAATAACTAATAATAATGTCCTTACTTCATGATTAAGTCCTAAGCCTTGTATCAATTATCAGTGCCGAAAGGTCAAGTTTCTGAATATGAGTGAATGAGCATTACTGTAAAATTTGTTTGTAAGAAGGCGCTATCAATTGATGCGCTGGTGTCTTTGATGTTTCCCTTTGTGCCATTAATTATGAAATGTATTGGACACTTCTGAAAATTAAATGACCTAGCTATGATTTAAAAGGACTAACATGTGAAATATGTCTACCTTTTTTTCTCTTTCTCTTTTTCTTATTTTCGAGGAAAATTTTCAAATTATCACCAATGTTTCATTTCTATTACTTCCATTTTCTGTTTTTCATTTCTATACATTTAGGAAAATCGTACACATTATTCGGTAATTATTGAATAAATTGTTTGAATTTTAAAAATTTTAATTATTACTTTGTAATTGTTTATTTAACTTTTTTTTTCCTTCATCAAATCAATGATGAAATTAATTTAATTTAGCATGTAAACGGAAAGATGAACAACAAATTAATGGTGCATCACAATCAGCAACACCAAAAAAACCACGCTTAGTGTTCACCGATATTCAAAGACGTACATTGCAGGTGGGCCAGTTGCAGGTGCTAATTGATATTTGTAAAAGAAAAACAAAAAAGAAAAAACGAAATCTTCTTTTTATTTTTTATCCTATGGTCTATTTTATCAATTATATACGTATGACAAAATTCTTTTTTTAATGAGAAGTATAAATTTTTTTTTTAAAAAAAATGAAAAACATAAAGTAATATATAAAGAAAAAATAACGAATTGTATAAAAATTGGATTATATAAAAAATTGAATTATATAAAATAATATATAATGAAAGCAGCATTTCCTCTTTACCTATTTCTTTATTTTAATCTAAAAATTTCCGAAATATTTTAATTTGTTGGGAGTCTAACCTCAGTCACTTTCTGTTCTTTAAGTTAAAGGGAGAG